GGGGGGAAAAGGTAGAGCACCTCATGGAAAATGAGAACTTTCCTAAGAATTAATTACTGTAATAGAAGAGAATTCTCCAAGTGCTACGAAGCCAGGAAATCACCTTGTCCTCTTAAAGGCAGCCTTGTCACACATCCTATTTTCCATCTAGACATCAAACCAAGTGATTTCAGCCACGTTGGAAGGGGTTAAATCCCTGAGAAGTCTCAGAGCAGAGCATTTAATTCATTGGGCATTGGGAGCCACCTGCGTGTGAGTGAGGGGGAGAGAGGGAGATTTGGGCAGAGCACTTTGCAAAAACCGTTCCTGGGGAGAGCCTGGAAGGGGATCAGTGCTGGGAACATGAATAAACATTTATTTCTGACTGCCAGAAAACACAAACAGTCCAGTTCCACCCCAGAAACCGCTCGAGGCATCTCTGCAGCTGAAAAACCTCCTCCACAAGAGCCAGGTAAGACACCTTCACCTTTTTACCTGCTTGTGTCTGCAGTGAATGCACCCAGAAACTCAGGGCAGGAGCTGCTGTACTTTTCCTGCATAATAACTCTGATGTCTGGTAGTTTTTAATTCTGAGGGTGCTCCAAAGATGCTCATCTCTAAAGTGAGAGCAAGAGGAGAGTTTTGAAACCACCTAAACTTCGAGGTTTTCCCAATTCTAAACTGTTTGAGCTGTGCCTCTACCAGGACTTATTCCACCACACACAGCTGGCAGCCAACCTGCTCCAAGAAGATATTTCAATGCTGAGCTTTATTTCTTTTCTGCTGGCTGACAGATGACAGGGTTCTGCTGGCTCTCAGAGACAAACCCATTATTTCTGAGCACAATGAGTTCTCCTCTGTGGGCAGCATCCCTGCCACAATAAATCACAGGCTACATCCAGCCATTGTCCTGGAGCCAGGCATCTGCTGATTCACTGGGGAGAGGCTGCTGGGTTGGGCTTTTTTGTTTTAATGTCACCCCATAGCTTCAGATTTTCTTCCTTATTTAAGTTAAAAGTGTGTGCTAATCTCATTTGCTGACATTTTGAGTGGAATAATGGACATTATTCAGGTTTACTAAACTTACCATTTCACACATGCATTATAAATCTTGGTTCAGGTCAGTTTTCCTGTTTAGATTAATTTATATACACAGAAGAAATAGGTCTTTGTATCTGTGGAACCTGAACATTGAAACTCAGATGACAACAGGTAACAGCTCTCTTTCCAGACTCGTGGTTCTTTATTATACTAAAACCAAAAAGGTAAATAATAGAAGAGATTTTTAGCAGTCTTGGAGAAGTTTTGGAGCTGCTTCCCACCCCTCTGCCCCTCACACAGAGCAGCTGATCATTTCTAACCTGCAGTTCACACACAAGTGATTCCAGATCTGGAATTGCACTTCCACTGACACACAGGACCGCCTTAAATAATTTTTTTTTTTTTTTTTTTTTTTTTTGCATAGGCAAAGGATTCAGGGCAAACTACAAGCCCCGACCCTCAGAGGTAAGAGAATTTAAGAGAATTTCCCTCACATCTCACTATGGATATCTATAAGGGTGTACCAGATAGAGATGGAGACCTTGTTTCCATGGCAACAACTCTTAAGACAAATCACACTAAAGATGCTGCCACGTCCTGCTTGGCTCAGATTGCTGTAGGACACGGAGCTGTTTTTACATTTGGTGGAGCTGTTTAATTCCTGCAGGAGAACCCCAGAGCTCCAGCTGGGAAATCACTGCCCTACTGCACATCCACTCCCTGGATTTCTGGGAGCAGCAACCATGGGATCATCTATTCAGGTGACCCAAAGAATTCAATCACAGCAATATTGAGACTAAAAACTGTGCAAAAATCGGGCAGGCAACTAAAGTAGGTAGTATATTCTCATATAATAGTATCAGGTGCATATAGATACAATTTTAGGTTCTATATTCTCATGTATTCTCATAAGCACAAAGTTTTTGAGGTTCACATCACCAGTGGCAAAACAAACACAGGCAGAGGGGGAAAAAAATGCACAACCCCTGACAATTTCTGTCTGCAGAATCAATTCCTTCTAAAGGAGGAGTTGAAGGTCAACTTGACATTGTGGCAACTATGACACAGTAATCAAACTTCTGAGCAAGGTAAAAATACCCTTGAATAGTCTCATCCCAGCTCAGTGTCCCAGGTATAGCCGTGGTTATTCCAGACTCTCCAGGGAAAATATGAAGACAAAAATATTCGAGTGCTGTCTCCCAGACAAGTGAGACAGCAGCTCAAATATTTGCTGTCCAGAGCTGGAACCTCTGACCTAAATTCCCCCCAGACTTGAGAATTTTTCCCAAGAAGGAAAGCACTGCATAAAACCCCAGAGCTGCTCCCTCTCTGCGTTCAGTAGCTCTGTGCAGTTTGGGATGCCTTGTGCCTGAGGAAGCACCTTTTGAGTAAATATTCACATGTGGGGTCTCTGAGTTCCCAGTAAACACATCCCACAAAGAGGCAGTCATCCAGCTTGGCTGCTCAAGCCCCATCCCTGTAGGATCCAAGGGTAAAAATCCCTGATTTGAGGTTTTTTTTCCAAGCTGTAACTCTGCCACTACGAACTCTTTACACTTTCAAATTCCAGTAACAGGAGAACCGCCTCTGCAAAGTTACAAAGTAAGCAAAAAGGGAAAAATCCTTTCAAAGTGGCCCAACCCAAACAGCAAATGCCTCATTGCTTCATATGTTTTGAGTCTGCATTGCTTTGGGGAGAGAGGATGTTTTCCAAGAACCGAAAATCCCCACTGTTCCTCAGTCTCTGGAAGAAGAAATCCCCAGAGCAGTGTTCACCTTCCCAGGACTGCGAAGAGGAATTAAACTTTTAAAGCTCTTGTGTAAAATAAGGGGCTAATGGACGGTGAAGTGGACCAGCAGATGAGAATTTCTGCAGGCAGCGATTAAATTATGAATAATTTAATTGAATGTGAGATTTAAGGGAAAAGAAATAACGAAGCAACCCCATTCCACTTCACAGCATCGAGTTGTCTTTGCCACAGAGGCTCCAAGGTGAGAGTGAGAAATCAAAGCAGGTCTGTCCCCTTCGGAGCAGTGACCAGAACAGGGACCTTGCTGCACTGTCAGGATGATGGATTGCTCCATTCCAGTGACCACTCCAAGTTGCTCAAGACAATCAAAATTAATGATTCTGCAAATATGTCCTTTACAGTTGCTGGTGTTCCTCACACAGAAAATAAGAGGTTTCTTGTGTTTTGTTGGGTTGTTTGAGTTGGGTTGGTTTTTTTTTTTCACTTAGCACAGCAGAAGGAATAAAGCTCTTAGATTTTTGGCATCTTGATTCTCCACCTCCAAAACGGGCAAAATAATACCCAGCAGTGTCTTGTAGCCACGGTGTAAGAATAAATACATTAAATCTATGAGAATAACCACAAAAAATCTACAAAAATAACTACATTAAATCTACAAAAATTGCCACATTAAGTCCTATGAGGCACCTACTTATTGCAGTTTTATGGATGTCAACCAGGTAAATCCTACTCAGAGTCAGCTACGTTGTAAAGTCAGAGTAAAACTGCCCAGCAACAAGGAAGATTCCTATAAACAGAGGAAACTAATCTTAGCTGCAGAAATTTCTGCAAACAGAAATGAGAGATCACTTAAATCCTAATTAAATGTATAGCTTTGTCCTTGGAAGTGACCCTGCCTTCTGCAGCTCTGTTTCCCATATGGACACCCAGGATCTGCTAAAGCACGTGTGCATTTCACATCCCTGTGTTCTCCTACTCCTCCTCAGCTGTGGGATGAGAATTGCTGCCTTCACACTTGCCAGGAGCCTGAGTTAACATGACTCCGGAAAAAAAAAAAAAAAAAAAAAAAAAAAGGGAAATTCTCCCAGGGTTTGAGGCAAAATGGGAGAGGAGACTTGGGCTCCTGGCAGAAGGAACTGGTGTTCATTGTTCCCCACTCTCGGAACACTGTGTGTCCATTCCCAGCAAACAGCCACAAAGCAATCGCTGCTCTGCCCCCAGCACCTCCTCCTGAACTCACACAAAACTTGGAGTGCAGAGGCACAACCCGAACATTTCTCCGGGGTGAATCCTTGCAGCTGAGTTCCCCCAGCTCAGGGGAACACACGCCCAGCCCCAGCAGCTGCTTCTGCCTCCTCCCGGAGCCCGTCCTGGGGCAGGGTGACACAAAACCCCAGGGAAGCCTCACGCCTACCCTGCCCTTGCTTTTAGTGCCTTTCCCAGTTGTTCCCAGGCAGAAATCCATGAAGGGATTGTGCGCATTGCCTGCAACAACCCATAAATCAGCCTGTTCACTTCTCCTATTCATCCCACCCCAAAGCTGCGGCCGCTCTGGGAAGCCGGAGAGCTCCAGCAGGTTCCCACCTCGCCAGCGGCCAAAACCGGGGGGCATTCCAGGGAAAACAGAATCCCGGGGAACCGGAGGGAGATCGGGAGAAGCCACAGCGGCACAGCCGAATAACCGGGGGCATTCCAGGGATCACAGAATCCCAGGAACCCCGGGAGAAGCTGTAGCAGCACGGCAGAATAACCGGGCGGCTTTCCAGGGATCGCAGAATCCCGGAGAGCTCGGGAGAAGCCACAGCGGCACAGCCGAATAACCGGGTGGGATTCCAGGGATAACAATCCCGGGAAGCTCAGGAGAAGCTGGAGCAGCACAGCTGAATAACCGAGAGGGATTCCAGGGATCACAGAATCCTAGAAACCCTGGGAGAAGCTGTAGCAGCACGGCGGAATAAGCGGGTGACATTCCAGGGATAACAATCCCGGGAAGCTCGGGAGAAGCCGCAGCGGCGCGGAGCTCCTCCAGCCCATCCCACCCCCTCCTCCCCCGGAGCATCTCCCTGGAGCCGGGAAGGGCTCGGGGCTGAGCTCCCGAGGCTGAGCATGGCTCGGAGAAGCCTGGCAGAGCCTCCCGGAGCTGCCCCGTGTCCCCGGAGCCGCCCGCTGTCCCCGTCCCGCGTCGCCGCTGCCCCCGGAGCCGCTCCAGGGCGCTCGCACCTGGAAGGATCCCAGCCTGGATTCCCTGGCTGTTAGCACAGCCCTGCCCAGCCCCACGGACGGGAATTCTTCACGGCAGAGTGAATACTTTGGGAGAGGGCAGTGGAAGGCGGCAGTTTTGCCCCCCTCCTTCTCTGCCTGGGAGAAAGGAGTTGCCCAACCTGGTCATGAGACTTTTCCATACTTCCCAAAGAGGCTCCTGAAGTTCTGACACTGCACCACGGAGAGCCTGGGGCAGCACAGCCCCCCCGAGAGCACACACGCAGGCACGGGAGATGGAGAATGAGGTTGGCAAATCTGTGGACAATCAAATGGACAAATACATGTAATAATTTGGAAGTTTTCTTTCCTTCTTTGCTTTTATTCCGCTTCCTTTTTTTTTTTTTTCCCCTCTCATGCATTTCTTCTCCCTATGCTGATGTAGCCGTGCTGTTAATCCTTTCTCGCCCTCCCCGATTTAGAGTTACAATAATGGGGAAATCAGAAAGTCAAATGGATATTGTGGAAAAATCGACCAAATCTGGGAAGAAGCCCTGGAGCTTTGTGGCCATCGGGCTGGCTGTCCTGCTGCTCCTCATGACTTGTGCTGCCGTCGCCCTGGTGATCCTCTATGCCAGCAGCAGAGGTAAGAACCTGGAAATAATTCTCCCCTTCCCTCTGCAAACAGCAGAAAAAGTCCTTTTTTTTTTTTTTTTTTTTTTTTTTTTTTTCTCAGAGCTAAATGAAAACAAAAATACAGAGAGACCATGAGGTCACCTCTGTGAGGGACTGGGCTCTCTCTGCCTCGCTCCCAGCTTGTGCACAGAGATTATGTTGGCTTTTACTTTAATTTTGAGTTATGCTCTGTAAGATTCAATGCTTTTATTTCATTCCATGCGATTTGTTGAATTCAGAGCTGTTTTGACAAAGCTGATGTGCTGTTTTAGAGGAAAGGTGTGTGTCTGTGTGTGAGAACTGACATTTCCTTATTTTATCCAAGCACAAGCCAAGAATCATTATTGTCAGGGTTTTTAAAGCAACAGCTGCTTTAAAACACTTCTAAAAACAATATCCCTGAAGGAGAAATTGCTTATTATAATTTGAAAACTTAAAAAAAAAAAAAGTAAGAAAGAAAAAAAGAAAAAAAAACACTTGCTGCCGAGGAAAAGGAGAATTTTTAAATATTCCATCAGGCAGTTGGATCTCTAAGTGTGATTTGCTTCAGTGACTTGAATGCAAATATCTTGCCAGAAACCTGACATTGAGCCACGTTATTTTGAAGTGTTTTGCCTAAATATTTTAACTGCAGAGCACACTTGGTAAAACCAAAGTTTTCCCACTGGCACAGCAAGTGCAAAGTCCCACTTCAAAACCCTGTGAAGCATCAAATGCTCGGGAGCAGCTCTGCCTCATGTTTGTCACTTCCATTAAATTCTCTTGGATTGGGAGCTTTGTTAAAACACTGGAGAACAAAATTAAAGTGGGAACAGCAAAACTGGAGCAAGGCTTTGCTGTCTGCTCACACTCTCTGCCTCCCCTGCTGCATTTTCAGCACTTGTGAGTGAAACACTGCACAATCCTGAGCAATAATTCATTTTTTAAAAGCCTTGTTATTGGTCACTCCTTTTGCCACCAGCAGTTCAATACCAGGCAAAATCTTGAGTATTTGGTATTCATAAAGTTCATCAGAAAGTTTATTCAATTAACTCAGGAGATGAGGGGAAAGAAATTCCCCAGAGCCAGGTCCTGGAGGAGTTTTTGTATCAAACATTGAGCTAGGCTGGGTTTTGCTGCCTGCCTGCATAAAGGATTTGAGAAATCTGCCCTACATCATTTGCTGGGTCCAGACAATCCAGAATTCAGGTATTGATAACATTTGCCCAAGTGTTGGTCCCATCCAAATCCAGAGGCAGAGTTTGTGCTCACTACATGGAAGGCTTATCTGTGAGAAAACAGATCTAAAACCTAAATATTTTCACAGGCTCACATCTGCAATTAAACTTTGCCTGGAAGTGTTCTCCAGGCTGAGCCCAGAGTGCAGGGCTGATGTTGTGCCTGCCCTGTGCTCCTCACACCCCACCAGGTGTGTTCAGCTCTGCCCTGGAGCCACTTTGTGCCTCTGTCCCCATCTGGCAGCTCCTCACAGCTGGAGCAGCCACGAGCTTTAGGTAATTCCAGGTGGGAAATGAGATTCCAGGTGGGAAATGAGCAGCAAAAATTTCATCCTCACAGAGCAGTGTCAGCATGCACTGCCAGGGTCAAGAGCTGAGACAATAAGAGCACTTCAGACGTTCCTGCAGCAGAAACATCTTTTTTTTGGTCTTGAAAAGTTTTGTCCCAAAGTCCCCCTCAGCTCTGTTTTGCTGTCACACTTCAGCCCATTCCCAGTGCTCAGCCAAAAGCTTCAAGTCTCAGGTTCCCCAAGGGAAAAGCTCAAAGTTGTGCCACATAAATCCCACAGAACAACAGGAAAAAAGCAATTTGGCTGAGCACCATTCATGTGACACAACCAACAATGATATCCTGGGATTCTTTTATTGCTGATTTCACTGAAATGTTAATTTTGGGATGTGTATGGGATACTAGATTGTTCATTAAAAGCAGATTCAGATTTCTCACTTCACCTTGATACATCCTTGAACAGAATTATACTACCCAAGCTTCTAAAAATAAATTTGTTTAGCTTGTAATTAGGAATTAAATTAGAAAATGAAAGCATTGCTTGTCCTGCATTGCATTCACTTTTTTTTTTTTTTAATTTCTAAAGGCATGTTTAGGCTTTGTGGTTCAGGGAGAATATTTTTCTGCTTGTATATATCTTGTAGAAGAGCACTGTGGTGCATGAAATAGGCCTGTGGGCACAGCAATAATTCCTGGAGTTCTGTTAATGCTGACTGGGATTTTTATCTCTATTCCCAGCCAACAAAAACAGTCAAGCTCTCACAGCAGTGCAGTTAGCAGAGTTCTGGACACAATTTGAGGATTTTTGACATCCAAAGAAGTTTTCAGATCTAAAAATCACCCTCATCTAAATAAGCTGAAAGCAAACATGGGAAGAATAAAGCAATATTTGGGTGATGCTAGCAAGGGAAGCAGGGCTGGGTTTGGGTCTGAGCACACCACGCTCTCAATCCTCCCCTCACACCCACAGCCCCATCTCAGCTCCCTCTCAGGATTTACTGAACTCCAAACCCCATCCCACAGCCTGAGGAACATCTCCAGCCTCTCTGCATTTGTAACATCAAATCACAAATCTCTGTATTTGTAACATCAAATCACTCAGCAGCTCCTCCAGCAACTTAGCTCCAAACAACTTCCAGCCTCACCTAATGGCTGCTCCTGTAATTCTGATTATTTCATTGACTTTCTGGCTCCCAAGTTGCCTTCTCAGGAGGAAGATTCACTGATATTTTTGTGTCTGCATCCCCAACATTAGGAAGCCCAAGCCCTCTGCTCTCTTCTTAGGCAGGCTCCAAACAAACAGAAACACAAACCAAGCAGCACTTTGTTTGGGGGGTAAATTTTTTTAAAAACCCACCTTTTTCTCCTGCATTTCCTGTGCTGAATGTGATTGTTGTGCACTTAAAAAACCAGATTTACACGAGCCTGCTGAGCAGGAGCAATGTCTAAACTAAAAACTGAGACAAGGTTGTGGCTGAGCTCTGGCTCCTCTCCTTCACTGGTGCCCAAATGTCCTTTGACGTCAGGAACCTTCATTAACGAGCCAGCTATTCAGGGAAGATGCAGAATTTCAAGAAGTGGCAACTAACACACAAGTCATGATGACATTTGGGTGGCAAGACTCTCCTCAGTCATAGTCAGATGGAGCTACATGAATGCAGAGCAGTAATGGGGAGTGACAGGCCATGCAGGGCTGCAAAAGGGGCAAATAAACACCCAATTTACTGACTCTCACACAGAATTCTGGCTCAGCCATGATCATAGGTAGGAAATCCTAGGAAAGGTGGAAGAAAACCAAACACTTGTACTCTGCACTCCTTCTGATGGTGCTGACACCTGGCACAGGCAGACAAAGAAAACCTGAATTTGGCAATTCCGTTGTTTGTTGTGAGCAAATTTCTGTTTTAACAGCCACAAGGGCAGCTTGCAGTGCCAACAGCACTTCTGCAGAGGAGATCTGAGAACGGGGAAGGTGCTGAGAGGTAAAAGCTCCCACATGAGTGCCTGGTGACAACTGTGGCTCTAATTGTCTCCATGTGTGCCATCCCCAGCCATCTGTGCTCCTCCAAACGCACAGTGGGGAGACACTAAACACAAGCTGTGTCCTCCAGAGCCCTGCAGAAGGCTTGGCTGGGCTTTTGTTCTCTAAAAAGAAGCTGCAATAAAGCCCTGGAAAAGCAACTTGGGTTTGAAAAGCGCCATCCTTCCCAAGGTGAGCTGCTGAAGGGAACTGCAGCCATCCAGAGATCCCTCAGGTCCTTCCTGGCTCCTGCACTGGCCACAAAATGTGACAGGGCTCAGTGGCTCCTTGTGAGGCCAAATTGAGACAATAAAATTCTCTGCAGTGACCTCAGGGGGTCTGAAGCATGTCCCAGCTCTGCCATCTCTCAGGTGAGCAGTTCACCTCTGAGGCAGCATCTGGAGTGCTTAATTTCCCTCATTTTCTTCCATTAGGAGCAGTCCCACAGCTCAGGTAATTTCATTTATCTCCATTAAAGCTTCTGTTGCCTGATCAATTCTCTGATAGCTGCTGCTGTACCAGACTGAAATGGATGTCGAAGCAGGAGCCTCTCTGTCACTGAAACTCAACCTGTCAGCAATGCTTAACCAGGGAGGAAAATAAATAGAGAAATACCTGTGTTCCTACTGAAAACTCGGGCTGTTGTTCTAGAAAAGTAATCAAGGAAACAAAAGGCAGAGTTGTTGAGAATTGAGAAGGTGTAGTTTAAGTTCATTTCTAGTTTTTGGAAGGTGCAGATGACAAAGCTCCAGTTGAGGGAGCAAAGATCTGAGGCTGTAAAGCCAAAGAAGGCAGAGTTGGTCATACCCAGAGCCTGTGGCAGGAAAGTACTGAGGAATAAAAGAGCAGAATTGATTGAGAAACAAAGGAGACACTTTTCGAGGTAAACTGAGATCCCTTCCCCAGCCATTTCCCATGATCTGGTTTTGGGGCAGAGTTTCAGAGCCCTGAGAGTGCCCTCGAATTCCAAACCAGCTCTGGCTCCCCTGCCCATCCTGCTCAGTTACAGCATCACAGTCTGGCCAAGGGAGGGGAGTTCAAGCCTCGTTCAAAGCAGTTGGTTCCAGAATTTGAAGTCTCACATTGTCAGGTTATAATGAAGAGAGAAGCTTTGATTTTAAAATAAATTAAATAAATAAATGAAACAAAAAAGGATCCATTTCAGTCCTGCCTGGTCCCTGGGAAACAATGAGAGACACACAAAATTCTTGTAGTACAATTATTCCTCACATTGCTCTTTGCTATTGCTCCTTTCCTTTTGCCCTTAAACTACTCATTTATTTTTCTCCAAGTATTTTATTTTTCCCCTTGGAGATACCCTGGGCTTTTAGGTTTGATTTTGCCCATTGTTTAATAATGAGAGAGTTTAATAAACTTCAAAAACTGGGCTTAGCTTCATCTAGCACACAAAAAAATCCCAACAAATGCTGAAACAAACATTAAAAAAAAAAAAAAATAAAAAGGACTATCTCTGTGCAGCTCCCCATTGTTCCACATATTTTGCTCCTCCCCTGTTCAGGTTGCCAGACACCAGCCAGGGTAGGACACAGTTTTTTCTCATGCAGATGTGCTCCCACCCAGCAGACCACGCTCAGCTGAACCCTGAACATTCCCCAGCACAGTGGGGGCTTTTTATGTTGCTTCTACTGATGAACTTCAAAGCCCTCTTTTCTCCCCCACTGTTTTATTTCTCTCAGAATTACTGTAATCTTGTTTGCTCTCATGTAAAGCACTTACTTGCATTGAAAGCATTTTTTTCTAGTAACTCTTTTCTGCAAACAAGGATAAAAACAAAGCTTAAAAATGGCTAAATCTGCTGGAAAGTACCAAGATTTTGTTTTTCAGAGTGGAACCATATAGTTGCCTATTTGATATAACAGGCATCACTTATTTGATATAAGTGGGTAGTAAACCAAGACATGCAGTTTCTCAAATGGGAAATTAAACCAGCAGAATGAATTTCCTTCTCCCAGGGCCAATATCAGGCTGGGGGCTCAGATCCCTCCCACTGCAGCTCTGCAGGGAACAGCACATGGGAGGGTCCTGACACCTGCCCAGCATCACAAGAGCATTCACTTAAACACTCAGCATCAAAAATAATGTGTGCACTGGATTTTGGGGGATCTTCTACACTGGGAGAACCTCACAAACCAAGACTAAGCACTCAAAAATAGAAAATGAATGGCCAAGAACAGGACTTCAGTGGCCTTGTCCATGCTTAACTCAAGGCAGAACAAATCTGAACACAGCTCCACAATCTCCTTACTCCTACACTATTCCATCAGCCCTGAAAATTCCAGATTAGGGACAACCTCTCAGATGAGCAGCAAGGACCAACCCTAAAGGCCACATGAAACTGTGGCCAAACAGGTCTGTGACAGGCTGCCCCTCCCCAGCACAAAAACACCTGAGAAATAAAAGTCTTTTCTTTTCCTAGATGTGATCCTGGTGACTCAAAGCAGTGTGGCAGCAGGAACCCAGCTCTGGGCTTTTTGCCCCCTGTTTAAACCTCTCAGTCTCAGTGACTTTGAAGATGCTCAGAGCATCTTAACAGATTGTCTAAAAAAGGATCCCATACTTTCAGACTGTGGAGGCAGTTAGCAGGTAGAAAAGATGGTCTTATTCTCCTTCCAGGAGAGATAAAACTCACTGTCAAGACTTGTAATGCTGCTGCCAATAAATTTTCCTCAAAAAATCCCCAGATTTCTTCACAGTTGTCATCTGATATCTTTGACTGACACCAACATTCACTTGCATGCTCTCAAACCAAGCAGATCTGTCACTGAGATTGGGCTCTGGTGAATGACTTTGGGAGCAATTTCCTTCCAAAAACAAGTAATTCCATCTGCTTTCCTCTCCTCTCCTCTCCCTGCAGGCTCCCACTATGGCACCAACTCGGGCAACATCTGTACCACCCCTGGGTGTGTGACAGCAGGTAAAGGGGTTATTGTCAATTACTGCTGCAGAGGGGAGGCTTTATGTGATGTTATTGAACCTGAATAAGAGATAATTCAGGGTTTAAGGCTGCAGTAGAAGAAAATTAATGACATTTCCCCTTGGGTAAAGAATATCATTCATAAGTAGCAGAGGAAAATTGCCAGTGTGGCCAAGAGCTCTGGCTCTGAGCCACAAGGCCATGGACTGACCAACACAATCTGTATCTATAAGTGTAATAAAATTCCCTTTAGACTGAGTTTTCTCTCTCATGGAGTATTTACCTTCTTTTTTTTGGTATCTACACCTCGAGAGAGCTGAGACTCCAGCACAAATGTTCCCAGTAGCCCCCTGGAAGCACTGGTTTCTTGGGCAGTGCCTAAACTGAAGCCCAGGGGAGCACTGGGCACTGTTCCCTGCAAGGCTTCGTGCTCTGGGCCAACACTTCTGCCATTCAGATCCATTTTTAAGCAGAAAATAGGATTCCTCAAGTCATGATATGTGGGAGTGAGCCTTACCAAGCAGCTCCTTGAGAGCCTTCAGTAGTCCCAGAGATTCCTGGGCAGTGTGCAGAATTCATCTCTCCAATTTTGCTGCCCAGCTGCCAGGATAATCCAGAACATGGACCCCACAGCTGACCCGTGCAAGGATTTCTACCAGTACGCCTGCGGGGGCTGGCTGAGCCGGCACGTCATCCCAGAGACCAGCTCCAGATACAGCATCTTTGACATCCTCAGAGACGAGCTGGAGATCATCCTCAAAGGTAGGGCTGAGGCTGCTCCATCCCCAGGCACCTCTGCTCATTCCAGACTGCACATCACACGGAGAAACAAACTTGCAGAGAAGTGTTGATTGGGATTTGTTTTCTCTCCTGTCCTTTAATCTCTACATCTCTTACTACACCCATTCTGTGGGAACATCCTGTTCCCACTAAAAATTAGCCAGAGGTGATTGGGTACTAACTCCAAAAGGAGCAGGACAAGCTGTTTGCAGGTCCTTCCTCTTGACACTTTTTTCATTAATAGCATGAAGAGCTCTCTAGTTTGACAGTAATTGCAGCCTACGAGTGCTTCTCACAGCCCTGAATCCTCAGGGATTTCTGTAAAATGATCAAAGCTCTCCAGGGCAAAAACCTCATGGCAATGGTTTCTTCCCCAGGTGTGCTGGAGACTTCAGATCAAGGGGACAGAGAAGCATTTCAGAAAGCTAAAATCCTTTACAAGTCCTGCATGAATGAGAGTGAGTGTCCTCTTGTTCCATCGATTCCCCTGTTCAAAACAAGATGTACAGAAAATCCAAAGTCCTGCTAAGCAAAATCCAGCCAATATCTGTCTAATCCGTGTGGCTGTGCCTGGAAATTGAATCTTCAGATGGATGAAAATGCCTTGGTAGTACATGAAACATCAATATAACCATTTGGGATGTGGAAAAGATGGATGTTGGGTACCCACCCTGGTGTGGATGCAAAGCCTTTCCTTCAGGAGGCACAAACCTGGCCCAGCTCATTTTTCCCAAATCAATCCAGTCCAAATCAGCACTGGAGCCACAGAAGTATTTTCATTCCTTTTCTGAAGACTAATATAGAATGGAATCATGATATCTCTTATTTTTTTGCTATGCCACATTCAGTTGCAAATTTAAGCTGTTAGGTCCATTACTTATTTTTCCTAATTTTATTTTTGTATGAAAACAATGCAGAATTTGTCTTTCCTCCCTCAGGTCTTATAGAGCAACGAGATTCCCTGCCTCTGCTGGAGGCCTTGAGGATGGTTGGAGATTGGCCAGTGGCTTCTGCAGACTGGAGTAAGACCAGAGGTAATGCTGGGGCTGGAAGGGTTCACTCAGAATTATTTACTGACTCAGGGAGGCCACTGTCACCAAATTAAATCCTCCATTTTCAGTTTCTCTTCCCAAACAGAAGGCAGGGGTATCACACATTTAACATTCATTGATCTATTTAAAGAGATCTCCAGAATTCCAGCAGCCAGCTTATGAACTGTACAACTTCAATCAATCTGCCACAGATTGACAAAATATTTTCCCTTTTATCTCCCAGAGCCAAGCTGGAGCATGGAGGAAAACCTTTCCATAATGAACTCCAGGTTTAACAAACGTGTCCTCATTGACATGTTCGTGTGGAATGATGACCGGGATTCCAGCAGACACATCATTTATGTAAGAAAAAAATGGCAGGGAATTATTTATATGCCAGAATCATAATGGATAATTATTTACAGTGCAGACAGATAAACTTCCCACAGAACAATAGAGGTAAAATGTAGGCAACAGTTCTGTACCCCGAGTGTCAGATCTGTCTCAAAGACATATTGGGAAATGTTTTATGGCAGCATAATTTTTGTTTCAGTTAAAGAAATAAGAATCAATGGAATGTTGTTGATTTACAGCATTTAAGGGCTACAAACTCTTGTGACATACAAAAATGATGATGAGGTTTAATATATAGTAGGAAACCATGGGTTTAAAATACATAAAGAGTATTTCAGACTTTGTTCATGAATGGTTGTGCAAGAAGTCCAGCCCTAAAGTCAAGCAACAGAGAAAAGTTACTTACATTTTTTCTTGGATCTCCATGATTACTGAAATATTTTACTTTATAACCCACACTAAATCCACCCTGTCCTTACCTGGAAACCCAGAGTTGCACCTTCCACCTCACTCCAGATCCAGGAGAGCCCAAATTCTCTGGGTGATTGGCAGTAGTGTGGCACACACAGCATTTCCTGCTGCCTTTCAAGGATTCCTTGGGACAACCCCAGTTCCTGCTCACCACTAACCACAGAAATGCATTTTCCTTCAGATTGACCAGCCAAGTTTGGGAATGCCATCCAGGGACTACTACTTTAATGGGGGTAACTATCAAAGAGTAAGTATCCCTTCTATTGATTTACTCTGTGCCACTAAAACAAATTTATTCCTTATCCCTGTGCTTCCAAAAACCCCAAAACGTGAATCTTCACTCTATGCAACAATCAGAATTAGACTGTGACATTCATTACTACATTTTTTCCTAATTAAACCAACATTTTGTAAAGTTTACAAAAGGACTGAACAACTGTATAAATATCAAGCCTCCTCAGAACTGGCCAACTCATGAAGAAGGTTATGGGAAAATAAAATCATGTTTTATAGCTTAGACAGTCTCTCATTTTGAAGGACAGCTTCACATTTTCAGTGCAGAGCTTGTATCTTATTCTGAATCCCTGATGCTCAGCAAGTAAGAATCTGCTGCCATTTACTCTCCCCTTCCCCCAAAATTACATGAAATTGTGAGAGATTATTTTCTAGCTGCTTTCCTCTGCCAATGCTCAGGGCAAAAACACTGATTCTGCAAAAACACTGTTTCTGTAAATACACACAAAGCTGTTGCAAACAGAGCCAGACAATTTGTCTGTTTCCAAGATGAAAATACTGCTTTAGTACATTTTATTTTCCTCAATTATGCCTTGCTAACAAAGGGTATTTGCAGCCCAACATCAAACCAATTTTCCTAACAAGAATGGAAGGGAATACAGAGGGATGACAATCAGCATTTGAGACTCTTTTGTCTCGTGGTTGTAAAGGCAGATGAAAACATCAGTGGGAAGAGTTTTCTTCTCACTTCAGTGTATTTGACTACACTTTATATAGAATATCTAAAATATAGCCTTGGCAGGTTTATAGGGAATTGTCCCCACACCTTCTGGGCACCTTTAGGAGCTGCCAGCTCCTGGGACAAAGAATCTCCTGGAAACTGGAAAATGTGGAGAGCTGCTGACCCAGGAATCTCCCCTGCAAGTGTCACCTCCACAGCAGCACTCACAGCAGAAAAGAGGGATATTTATGCATCGGGGCATGAAGGTCAGATATAGATTGACTTGGAGGAAGTAGGAAATCAGGTACAGTGCAGAGACAATCCTAAATTAGTGAAAGTAAACCAGTTTTGCTCAATACAGCTTTAATTTGAAGGCACAAAGCAGGGGGGCTGAGGCTGTGCTTTTAATCCTAATGACCAAGGAGGAGACACAACCCCTTTTTATTTGTATTTACCAGCTCGCTGCCCCCAGACAATGAGCCCAACTCTGATGACCCAAACTCCCCCTGTGCTTAGTCCAGCATCTTTTGGCAAAACTCCTTCTGAGGCCTGGGGGAGTCTGGCCTGATTAAGGCTCAGCATTCAGCCTAAAACCACAAATCATCATCTGTAAGTGCCCAGACTCAATTTCACCACAGTCACTGTGTTTATCTGGCTTCCAGGGTCTACAGAGGAAGAAAAGTATGTGAGAAGAACAGGTAGCATCAAGTTTTCCTGTATCAGGGACCAGCACTCTCTCAGCAGTCAAATGCCTTTTCAAGGCCCATTCTGAGGCATAAATCAGTCAGAGCCTCCCATCAGGAATAAAGGAAAGGTGTCACTGGGAACTGTCTGAAAACAGAGCTTTTCTTTCAGACACTAAAACCAGACCTGAGAAGATTTATGGTATTACTTTCAGAGAACTCAAACCTTCCCTGTTCACCCTGGAATTTTGGATCACTGTTCCCATAGTGTAACTCAAAACACAGTGCCTCCTCTTTGCCCAAGCAGTAATTCTAACTCAGAATGCCAGGATTGGATGGCACAGAGAAGCAGAAAGTGTGTTTTGAGGCTGGCAAGTGCCCTGTAAGGTATTCATGACAAAGAGAATGCTTTGCTGAATGAGAAATATGAAGATGAACTATAGAAACAGTGAAGAGAGACTGGTTACAAGGGCCTGGAGTGACAGTGCAAGAGGGAATGGGTTCAAACTGACAGAGGGCAGGGTTAGAGGGGATATTGGGAAGAAATTCTTCCCTGTGAGGGTGGGCAGGCCCTGGCACAGGGTACCCAGAGCAGCTGTGGCTGCCCCTGGATCCCTGGGAAGTGTCCAGGGCCAGGTTGGACAGGGCTTGGAGCCACCTGGGATAGTGGAAGGTGTCCCTGCCAAGGCAAGGGGTGGCACTGGATGGGGTTTAAGGTCCTTCCAAGCCCAACCATTCTGGGATTCTATGAAATGATGGACAGCAAACCTTTCCTACACGTTCTGTGTCTGAGTGCAGGTGAGAGAAGCTTATCTGCAGTTCATGATCACCATTGCCAAAATGATCCGGGAGGACAAGAACGTGTCCAAAGACGATTCCTTTGTCCAAGAGGAAATGACAAAGGTCATGGAGTTTGAAACAGAGATTGCAAATGTGAGTAGAGAGATCAAGAACTCCTCAGGAAGCTGTGGGGGGCAAGGGGTGAGGGGGAAGAGTCGCTTGCTGGTTTGTGCTGCAATTCTCAACGCAGCAGAAAATCCACAGCACAGAAAAAGTGGGGGAAGAAGAGTTTTTATGTCATGAGCCAGCCCAAAAATCAGAGCCTCTGTGTCTCTAATTCTGCCTGCTGTGTACACTGCTGCTGTGCTGCTCCAGCCTTATTTCTATTTGGAACTCTTCTAAAGCAGGATAATTCACCTTCTGCTAGCCATGCACTGGGACAACATCAGGGCAGGCCCCCTTGCATCCTTAATAACCTGCAGCTCCCTAAAAATCCCCCAGAGGAGGCTTCCATTCTAAAAAGGACAGAAAGAAACCCTTGGCTCAACATATCCCTGAAACGTTTTTGAATAGGGGAGACTCAGGTTCCTGTACTGAATTTTTGGAAGCAGCACTGGGGACAACCAAATCATTTTCCTTTTCCCAAACAAACTGATTAATCTGAATATTATTGGAGTGTGTATGTGTGCACCTGCATGTGATTTCAGCCATTGATATTTCTGTCAGTTGATTGCAGTAATAACCTTGTGAATGTCTTCAGGCCACGACCCCAGCAGAGGAAAGGCACGATGTGACCTTGTTGTACAACAAAATGACCTTAGCAGAGCTGCAGGAAAAGTTTGCATTCAATGTAAGTGTTTCATGAGCAGTCTCATACTTCAGGTCTCTTAATTCCATGCCAGTTGGAAATGGCTTTGTGAATTTATCAGTGCTTCAACAAAGAGGTATAAAATTATTCCCATTCCTAATTTTGTCTTCAGAATCTCTTTAATAGCTTTGTCCTACTGAACAGCTGCATTCAAGGTCATAAGACTGTCAAAAGTCCATTTAATCATCCAACATTGGAATGTCTCTCTGTCTGCCTAGGAATTTAACTGGACCTTCTTCATCCAACGTGTCATGTCTTCAGTAAGTGTTCAGGTGGAGCCGGAGGAAGAGGTGGTTGTGTATGGGATGCCATATCTGCAAGAGCTGAAAGCAATTATCTCCAAGTACTCAGCCAGGTAAAGAAACTGCAGCAAAGGTAGGACAAAAGTCACAGAAGGATTGCTGAAATGTCAATTATGGCATGCCCTTGCTAGTTCTGGGCTTCTGAGGAAAAATGACACCCCTGTAAAATACAGGAAATGCCTCTGGAGGTTTCAAAGTCCAAATATTGCAGTACAAGGTGTCTCATTTGCTGCTTGTTTAGAAAAGGTTAAATGGGAAGAAAAAGTACATGACAGGCTTAGCTCTTGTTACATTCTAGAGAGAAGAAAAAAAAAGAAATTAATCCCAGAACAGATATGACAGCCCAGTCCTCAGGCTGGATGACTCTGCAGTTAAATGAGATGCTGCAAAACCCAGGACTGGCAGCAATGATTTCCTCCCTTGTCTGCATCCAAAACTGAGACTCCCCTCTGACTTCCTGCACTAGTGCTGGTTTTTACAGGGGATTAAGCTCAGCTTTGCTTTCCCACACAGCACCATCCAGAACTATCTCATCTGGCGGCTGGTGATCGACCGGGTCAGCAGCTTGAGCCGGCGCTTCAAGGATGCACGGGCCAGCTACAGGAAGGTATTTCCTCTGTCCATAAAGAGGAGAGCACAACTGCCACCAAATCCAACAGCACAATAACCCTGTCAGGGGCTTGGAAAGAGAGGAACTTTAAGCTCCCTCCCAGCCCAAACTATTCTAGATTGTGTGATTACATCACGGAATCCTCAGACAAGCCCAGTCCCAGCTTGGGTTTGCTTTGGGTTGAGCTTTGGGTTAAGCTTTGGGTGAAGCTTTGGGTTAAGCTTTGGGTGAAGCTTTGGGTTAATTTGGGCAATGAGCTGCAGGGGCAGGGTTAATGCTGGGCTCTGCTGCAGGCCCTGTACGGGACCACGCTGGAGGAGGCGCGCTGGAGGGAGTGCGTGAGTTACGTCAACAACAACATGGAGAACGCGGTGGGAGCCATGTATGTCCGGGAGACTTTTGCTGGTGAGAGCAAGAGGATGGTATGTAGTTTACCCTTCATACTACTGTACATCCACAATGCCCACAGTGCCTGTTCCCTCTGGTGTCAGCTCCCTGGTTTTTGCCTGGGAGAGTTATCCACCAGTCAAGGTGCAAGGATTCATTTGTGATGCTCCTTTAGGCGCTCAGTACCATGGTTTAGAGCACAGAATTTGGAGACATCACCTTCCAGAAGGAAGCTTTTCATCCCTCCTCAGCCGTGCCTGGGAATAGGGCATGTGAATGATGAGTGTCTCCCTGGCTCTCTTTCAGGTCCGAGATTTAATAGAGAAGATCCGTGAAGTGTTTGTGGAGACTTTGGATGAGTTACAGTGGATGGATGAGGCGTCCAAGGAGAAAGCTCGTGAGAAGGTCAGAGATAACAAGGGGCTTCAGTATCCCCTTTTGAACATTAAATATTTGGAATTTTGTAGTATCACCATTTCCAGTTTCTCCACAAACAAGAGGAAAAGAGGACATTACTATCCTGTTACATTGTCCTTTCCTTTCAATCCTTTTGTTAGCCCACATCAATAAAAATGCCAGCTGGATACAATGCAATTCCCCCCCAAAAAACACTTCCAACTTTTAATTGAACTCAGGACCATCAGCACCATTCCAAAGGCAAGAAAAAACCCCAAACATTCAACTATTCTTTGTATCTAAACTTTGGTAAAAACAACCCAACAACAACATGCCAACAAAAACCACAATTAAGAGAAACATTCAACTGTTTTCTTCCAGGCAATGGCAATCAAAGAACAGATTGGCTACCCAGATTATATTTTAGAAGATCAGAACGAGAAACTGGACCTGGAATATGCCAATGTAAGTGGTTTATGCATATCTCACTAAATACCTCAAAATAAACACCTGCATTTGTTTTCTTGTCACTGCAATGTTTGTACCTGTGCAACTGCCCTTTCCAAGGATATTAAAATGAACATATTGATAAATAATTGGTGCAAAGAACCAACTATTTAGTGAAACAATGCAACCAAAACATTTTTTAGAGGACATTCAGTGGGACAAGCAGTTCCTCTTCCTGCTCAGCTGACCAATGTACTTGGATCCCTGTTTGTGTAGTTAAACTTCAGTGAACACAACTACTTTGAAAACATCCTGGAAAACCTGCAAGCTGGAGCCCAAAAGAGCCTGAAAAAGCTTCGGGAGAGAGTTGACCAAGATATGTGAGTTTCCAGACAAAGTCACAGACACAACCTAAATTCTGGGTTAATGGTGGGGGTGTTTAATTCATGCTGTGGTTACCTGGGAATGCCCGTGGCTGACATAATCAAGGAATTACAACTCTAACGTAAAGTGAAAAATGCTTTTCCCCTTGAACGTTGTATGCTTGGGATGAAAGCTGCCCATAAAGAAGCCACCAGGTATTTCCTGGTATCAGGAATTCTTTACAGCTGGGATCAATACACCCTTTTTCCTACATTAATTCTTTCTTGATCCAATCTCCTTATAAGGATTTTCCTTCTTGTTACCAGGTTCTTCCTTCTCCTAACAAGGAAATTATATTCCTTTATATATCCAAATATACATTCCTGGTAATATATATATTATGTATATCTAACATACATATATTACATATATTAGCTATATATATAATATATATATGCAACATATATCTAATAGATACATATCTAATATATATATGTTACATATACATGTGTATATATAAATATAAACATATATATGTATATATGTATAGACATATATAAATAAATAATCCCTGAAAGGATTCTATCCTTACAATCCTTTCCTATATACCTTGCATTTTTTAAACCAGAATTAAATTTCAAAAATGTCTGGGAGGGGAAAAACCATCATGACTAACTGTGTGCAACATTTATTTTTAGATGGATAATTGGAGCTGCAGTGGTCAATGCATTCTATTCCCCTAACAGGAACCAGATAGGTAGGTTTAAACACTTTTAACCAGCTCATTTTATCCACACAATAGTGCAGAGGCAAAGCTGCCTGTGCCCATCCAGGAATTCTGGGCAGGGCTGCCAGGCTGCTCAGCTCAAGCACTTTGTTGATGAATATTCAGCTCTCCCTCCTTGGCAGGTGTAGTTTATACCCTGCCACTGGTTTATAGCCAGCCTTGGGTTTGAAAGCCTGGGACAGCACCAGTGCCAGCCCCCAGAGAATGCCCCAGGGCTGCTCCTGCTTCTGTTCCTACATTCTGATAGCACATGGGGCAGCCCTGTGCATGTGGCACTGGAATTACACTGCTAAGAGCCACCCCAGGCTGCAGGAGCTGCCTCTGCTCCCTGAGCATCAGCAGGGTGAGCTCTGCAGAGCTGCTGGGCTGCCCTTCCTCATTCTTAGCACAGGAGATCTTCAGAGCCTGCCTGGCTCCCTGTGCTCCCTGAGCTCAGACCTCATGCAGGAGCTCAGGTTAGAACTACTGAGTCTCTGCTGAATTCTGAGCACCCCAAGCAGGATGGATGATAGATAATTCCCTCCAGAAATGCTTATTCAAATTCTCAGACTGCCAGGAAGATCTGCTACTCAACTACTGATACAGAAGGACAAATCTCTGGGGTTTTTAGGCCAGGGAGTAACTGCATCCTGCTCCCAGGGCAAAGGCCAGGAGTGGAAACAGCCCAATCTACCAACAGTCAAAACAGAAAACTTCTATAACTGCTAAAAGCAGAAACATCCAAATTGCTGATAATTTAGCCCTCTGACCTCACCCAAAATCTGTTTTCCTTTGTGCACCTTCCACTCACCCCCATCCTGCAGGTACAACATCATCAGGACTTTCAGCCACAGCAGGGCCCTCCTGGGGGCTTTACTGGTGGCCAAACTCAGCTGCCAGTTTATCCCCAGTGGTTTTATACAGATTGGAATCAGCTTTCCAGGCAGGGAACTCGAGTCTTGAAGCCACCTAGCTCCTCTCCAGCTTTGTCCTTATAAATCATACAAAAGTAACTCATTTCAGCAACTTGGAGATGAATATGCCTGTGTAAAAATCCAAGCACAACCACCCACAATAGTGTGTATGGCAGTTAAATTCTATTTCTTCATGTCTCTAGCTTGAGAAAACAATTTTCCACACTGCTCTGTCTAAGTCCAGTCTGGCTTATGCATTTCTCCACAAAATTGTATGGATAAAACCTGTGTAGCCAAAAGGGTTTTGTCTCTGAATTAACTGCTTGCAATATAATTTCAATATCTCCCTTCATGGGAAATATCTCATTAGAGTGAATTACTGCCAGTCTGAATTCCTCTAGAAGCATTTATGCTTTTCAGCTTGTGTAGAAGGGGTGAAAAGCAAATCCCATGGTTTGGGAAAAGGTTTTTGCCAGCAGTCTGAGGCAGAACAAATCTCATATTGCCCCCCTCAAGTGGCATCAAGTGCCCTTGGTGGTCTCTAGGAATGACATCTACAGCAGATGATTTCTAACTTCTCCTTAACCCAAATAAAGCAATAAAACCTCCATTAGTTCCCCAATAAAATGGCTCTGGCACACAAACTGTGCTGTCTCCAAAGGATAGCTCCTAAACATTCTGTTCTTGACTCACTGCAGCAAACATTATGGACCAAATTAGGCTAAGCTTAATGTAAATGTTGCTTGGGTCTCAAATAGGGAGATATTGTAGCTGCAGATGTGCTAAATTAAACCTTTATTAACTTGTCATTTTCCATTTATCGAGAGAGAAACGATTTCAAATGAGGCATGAGCTTGTTTCTAATCATTTTATATTTGCTGTTCCTTCCTGACCCAAGCACAAAATCTGTCTGCCAAAGATGCAAAAACAAAACCACCTTACAGCATTTCCCTCTTTCTCTCTGTCTTTGCAGTTTTTCCTGCTGGGATTCTCCAGCCCCCCTTCTTCAGCAAACACCAGCCCCAGGCCCTGAACTTTGGAGGGATTGGGATGGTTATTGGCCATGAGATCACTCATGGATTCGATGACAACGGTGAGGAGATGACTGAAAAAACTTTATTATTTCAGCTAAAACTCGTGGCAAGGCAGGAATTGAAGTGCACTGAGACTGAAGATCCCTGCACAGTCACATCCAGCTCAGCAGCAAAAGGAGCACACTGGGAACACCCTGTGGAAGATTTTGCAGGGAATGTTTCCTGCAAATGTTAAAAACAAATTGAAGCAATGACAATTCTCAGGAAAAAAATGTTGCTTTTACAGCATCATCATTTCAGAAACACAAAGCAAACAGATCCAAGGGCTCCTGAATACAGTGAAATCTGTGAATAACAGTTTTGGCATAGAACAAATGTTAGTAGTGTCTTGAAATCCCAGGAGACTTTGTTTTTCAACACAAATGCTTAAATAAATTGACTTTTTTAACTTTCTCAAATGCCATATAAAAGAATTTGGGGGAAAAGCTCACTTCTGATTCTACAAGTCAGGAGTTTCTTCCACATGGGTTTTCTTCAGGCTGTTTTTTTTAATGCTCATTAAGTTTGTGCAGATGTCACATAAACACACAACACAGCCCCAGAAACTGAGTTCTAGGGCAAAGAAAAGCCTTGTTCTAGCCAGAGACCCAAGAACACAAACTCCAGGACTGCAATTCCAGCTTTTAATTCTCTATAAACCTCAGTTCTGTCTTGTGGCCACACAGAACCTCAGCACCTCAGAGGTGAGGGAAGGTTTTGTTACACGATATCTGCAAAATCCACTTGGAAATAAAACCAGGCCTTGGGGCTATACCCGAAGTCAGGGCTGCTGACTGAACAGGAAATCAAGGAATAACAGAGACCACAATTCCATTGCCTTGTGACAAAGAGAATAAACTGTGCCCAAAATATTTATGAGCATCTAAATTTAAGGGGGAAAAGGAAGGGAGTGCAGCTCCAGCATCCCAGGTGCTACACTGGAAGAATGGCAGCTTTAAAATCTTGCTTAAAACTTTCTTTTTATCTCTGGGTTTTCCTGCAGGTAGGAATTTTGACAAAGATGGGAATATGCTGGACTGGTGGAGCAATTTCTCAGCACTGCATTTCAAGGAGCAGTCCCTGTGCATGGTGCACCAGTATGGGAACTACACCTGGGAGCTGGCTGGGGGACAGAATGTGAGTAACAACCATGGCCACAGCTCTGGGTTTGTACAAATAATGACTTTAACAGGAGATCCCTATGGGGGATCAGCACAAAACTGGGGACACTGGTGTGGCCCAGAAAGTCCAGGGTCTGTGTGCAGTGATGTTCTGTGCAGCAGCAGCCCAAGCTCTGTCCTTATTGTATTTGTGTGTGCTCTGTTCCAGTCTAGAGCTCCTACCCTGTGATTTGTTTAATTTCATTCTCTCCTTTCTTGTCCCAGCACAAAGTCACAGCTTCCCTTTGCTCCAGGCATGTCAGGCTGTGGTATAACTGACCCGTGGTTCTTAGAGTTGCTGATTTTACTGACAATCGAGTAAATAAATGATTATTTTTACAGGTCAGTGGCATAAGCACATTAGGAGAAAATATCGCAGATAACGGAGGAGTCCGACAGGCTTATAAGGTAATCCTCAAACACCCTGTGAGTTAACTTTACCGGGAATCCAGCAATGGGGGGACCTATTCTGTGCTAAAAAAATTGACAATTAACATGTTATTAGCATATTCCAAAAGCTAAAGCCTCAGTTGTACATCTGGAAGCTCATGGTACCCATGGCTTGATGCCATTCTTGCAGCCAGGAGCAGCCCAAAGGTGGAGCTCAGGTGTGAGCAGGGAATGTTCTTCCCTACAAAGAACCCTGACAGATGTCACAGTAAAACCTTTTCTCTTTGGTGTTTTGAGTATGGCGTTACGGGTGTTTACAGAACACCCTGAATTTTCAGACGTCTAAATTCCATCCCTAAGGGACACCATTGCAATTAATTACTGCATTAGGATTGTTCTAAAAGTCATCACAGACGTGGAGGAGCTGTGTGGGGTGACACAAACTTCCTGCACACAGAATCCATGGATGGTCTGTGGTGCTGGATCTCTTTCTACTCTCAGCTCTCCCTTTTGTTCCGTGCTTTGGGACTGTCTCAGCACCTGAGAGGCTGCAGAAATTGAATGTTGGGAATTAACCAGTGTGAGGGCACATTAACTTGTCTCCATCATGTCAATATACCTAAAAAAAGCAAATTGGCCAATTAATGTGTAACAGTAACAGGTAATAGATTTAACATTGAGCAAGGTTGTTATCTGCTATTTAATGAGCAGTTACCTGTAGAGAGAAATATCATCACTATAGAGAAGCAGAGGAGATTTAACTCTTTATTTCCACATACAAATTCCTGTAGAAAGAGTCCATAAAGTCAACAGTGCTTATGCTGACTGCTTTTTCATAAAATTCCCTGCACTGTTTGTATTAGAGAGAAAAAATTTATACAAATACAGAAGGGAAACACGCTGGTTAATGCATGTGGTGTCTAAAATCCCTCCTCCCAAAGCAAGATTCAAAATCCACCTCCTGCTGCTCCTCTGAGTTGATCTGTGATCATTTCCAGGCCTACTTGAAGTGGCTGGAACGGGAAGGGAAGGAGCCAAAGCTGCCTGGACTGAACCTGTCCCACAAACAGCTTTTCTTCCTCAACTTTGCCCAGGTGAGAACACACAGGGTTGTACCTCAGGCCATTGGACTTTGCTGGAGGAAACACTTGGGGGAAATCAAGGGCAGATAAATCTGTGCCAGAGCACCAGATCTTGATCTAAGATAAAACAAAATGTTATTAGTAAATAATTGCATCTATTCTGCCTCTCCATAAAACATACCCTAATGATATCATAGCAAACTGGGATGGTTCTTAGAAAAGCCACTGAGAGGGTGAATTCCCTTTAACACTGACCCACTAATGATGAATCTCCCTGTCCAGGTTTGGTGTGGCTCCTACAGACCAGAATATGCCAGTCAGTCCATAAAGACAGACGTTCACAGCCCTCTGAAGTACAGGTGGGTTTTACTCATTTACTAACTCACAACTCACCTCATTCAACCCCTTGCACCACGGCAGCACAGAAGGAGGCTCTGATAACACACAAGATAACTCCTGAGAGATTTCCAGATTTTCTCCCATGGCTTGTATGACACTGCTGGAGAGCATGTACCTGGTCTGGTGAATCTGCCAATCCCTAGGGAATGGAGGAGGACCAAACCCACTCTGTTCTGCCATTTCATTGCTCATATTACCAATATTTCCTAAAGCATCCCATATTCTGAACTGCAATCAAGTTCTGAGGCTCCAAACCACTTTCTGTTCCCCAGAACAGCAATTTCCATGTAAATGAGTCCCTTCTCTTTGTTTAGGGTGATGGGCTCGTTGCAGAACTTTGAAGCCTTCTCCGAGGTGTTCCACTGTAAGAAGGGCACGGCCATGCACCCCGCAGGGAAGTGCCGGGTGTGGTAACCAAGGATGGGACACTTTGGTGACACCACAAACAGCTGGTGGCAGGGATGTGCCCGGTGTCCTGCTGCTCAGCACAGCCAGGGCTGCCGGGGCAGCTGCTGCAGTGAGCCAAGGAAGCACTGAGCTCTCCCAGTGCCACTGGGGAGCACACAGGGATCCCGGGGATCCCGGGGATGGATCCCAGGGATGGATCCCGGGACTGCGGGCTGTGCCAGAGGCCACGCTGTGTTCCTGGGCACAACGACTGTTTCCAATGACATCCTGACTGTTACTAGGACACTGCATCAGGGTTACAAGGACTAATTCTTACACGAAAAAAAAAAAAAAAAAAAAAAAAAAAAAAAAAAAAAAGCCGCCACAAATCTATTTTTCAGAACGGAATAATAATTTTAATATATCAGCCCCACTTTCTGGGGCTCAGCAATGCTGTCTGAGATGCTCCACTGCTCTGTTTCCAGTGTTCTGGCTCCGTTTCTGGTGCATTTTTCCCCAGATCAGGTTAGAGCTGGTGTAAACTCTCGTGCTGTCTGCCCCTGCACTTTGATCACTGCTTTGTTGTCATGGATTGCTATTTGTCGTGACATGTCACACAGTGAGCTCTATGTAAAGACGCCTGTCACACTCTCCTCCCGCACTTGAGTTCCTCTGCTCCAAAGAACCCCTTCAAGTAAAGCATCACTACAATTATCACCTTTTAGGAGTACAAATTCTGTCTTTATGGTTAAATTACAGGGTCCCACCCTTCAGAGATATATTTAAAATGATGCTTATTCTTGTAGAAAGTGTATAAAATACCTTTTGCCAAATAGCAGACATGTATCCATGGAAACAATTAAGCTGGTTTTAATCCTGTGCCTTTTTATTTTGCCATAGGCTATTTTTCAGTATTTACACTTGAAAATGTAACATGTATTAATTTTTAATAAAATTTAAAAGAAAAAAACATGGTGGCCAATTCAGCAAGGATTTCCCTACGATGATTTATGGGGGGCTTTCCTTGGTAAGCATCCTACTATAACGAGAATATTTACAACTTCCAACATTTGATCGTGAGTTTTGAATATTATTCCAGCAAATGCTTTTCTTTCTAGCACAGGAATCACTTGACAGCAAGGCAGTAACTGCCTGTGTGACCCTGCAAAATCATTGAGCCCTGGAGATGAGCCATTAAAGGTTCTGGCACATGCAACTGTTAAAGGGATAATTAAAATGTGCCTGGGAAGGTTAGTTCCAAGTGACTATCACAGCCCATGGAAGTTACTCTATTTTTTCATGTAAGTTTATCCCATCTCCCACCTGCAGAACACTTCCCAGCTGCCAGTTTGTGTCAGTGCCAAGTGCACGAGCCCCAACCTCACCTTACAGCCCCACTGATCCTGGTGCTGTGCCCATAATTGGAGATAAGAGAGAGGCTCCAAATCCCCAGGAAATGGCCCTGAATTCCTACTGACCACTGCGTTACCTTTCCACAGTGACAAAATGCTTCTTCCCTGTGAGAAGTTCTGTGCCCAGAGGTGTTCTGCTGCACTTTAGACTCGTAGTCTAAATGAAGCCTCAGGGAAACTTTATTACATACTTAGGAAAAGAAGGAATATCCTGATGTTTCCCGGGATGAATCCGCAGCCTTTCCCTCTCCCATGCTGCCACCTGGTGACAAATCCCGCTCCAGCTCCTAAAAGACCAAAATTCACATCCAACAGGAGCAACTTTCAGACTCCATCGAACCACAGTTGATGCAGACATCAAACCCTGCAAAAGAAAATCGTTTTTAGTTGGTAGATTGTGATCCTGGTTGATGCTGCACATCTACAGGGATGCTCTTCCAGACTAATCCTTTTCCTTAAGGTAAAGCCAGCAGCCACATAAGTCAGAGTTTTCCCTTCTGCAGGTACCAGGAAAGTTCTTTCACAATGTGTTTTCTTTAGTAAAAACTTTATTTTTAGACACAGTGGACACAGAGGATTTTAACTTTCTTTACTAAAAACTGCATGGTTCTTGCTGTGCACGATTTCTTTTCCCAGCAATGTCTTCTTTTCTCCTAAAACCTGAAAAATCTGTACAAATATGCATTTGGAAAACTGCATTATGTATTATGCAGAAAGTTTAAAATGGAAAAAAAAAGCAAACCAACTTTTTTTTCCCACCAACAAGCAAGAGTGGAATAATTAATGCATACCAAGTGTCATTTGTCCATGGGGAAAGAAGAAAAATCCAGGCATTCCACACAGCCCAGTGCTCCTGAAGGGGATGTAAAAGGGAAGAGCTTTCCAGCCCCTGATGACACTCCCAGTGCCTTGATCACTCAGCTATTGCAGACTTTGATGCTTCACAAGATGCCACTGGGCTATTTCATTAACTCCTTTGCAAACCCTCCTTTTCATTTTCAAGTTGCCTTTCTCTTCATGACAATTTAGAGAAAAAAAAAAAAAGGAGGGGTTGTGCTTGGGTTTTTTAACCATCCCCATTGTCTGTCACAGTTCAAACAATGTCCAATTCAGGCCTGGTTTCTTTGGGTTCACATCAATTTCCTGCACAGGAGCAGTTGTTTGATCCCCTTTTCTCCTCATTAACATCAAAACCTGCCCGTGCTGTTCATGACACCTCAAAGGAAAACAGAGTATGAACAGCCAGCTTTTATCAGCAAATCCTACTCTTTCCACCTAACAGCCAAGCTTCTACTTCTCTCTTGAGAGCAAGAACCACTGTTGGGTCAGTCTCAAATCAGATTTTAATGTATTACCCAAAAAGAGAGATACCTGTGACTCCTGCACTGCTGCAAAGGGAAGGAATCAGTCCCACCAACAAGCAGTGAGAGGAATTTTCAGCTGAAGAGCTAAGACCATTCTTCAGGATATTATTACAAAACTACCCCTTTATAGTCATGTTCTTCATATTTACAGGGCACATAACTTCTCCTCCTTTGCCAGATATCTGTGAGGGCAGCTGCAGCAGCCAGCAGAACCACAGAGACAAGGATTGCCATGACTGCTGCCAGAGGTGGAGCTGGGGAAGTGTTCTGTTCCTCAGGTGTGATGTGAGAAAAGAAGGAATTGTGGTGTTAGAACCTGCCAGTGGAACTGCTGCCCTTTTTTCCACATCTCACCTCCCCAAAGGTCTTCCTTGGTGTGTAATCCAAGTGGGAGCTGGCTCTTACCTCTTTGTTTTAATGCTTATAAGTGCAAAATTATTCTCCTCAAAAGCAAACTGTCAGCTGTTCTACTCTAGATAAGGGATATGTCACCTGAAACCCAGCTACCAGGAGTGTGCTGCTCTCCATGGCTCCAGATCCAGCTCTGCTGGAGCCACCCCGAAAGCCTCCCATGCTCTCAAATTTGGATGACAGGATGAAGGCTGAATCTGTCATGTCAATGTGTTTATAAAGAGAGGAGTTCAGCCGTTCCCAAGAGTAGAAACAGGATTCCACACTCACAGCCTTACTGGAAGGAGGATGCTGCTGTTTGGAAGGGATCTAAAATGCAGACCCAACAGCCTCACTCACCCAGAAGGAATCAGAGCTGCTTCCCTGGGCAGTGGGGTTCAGGTCTCAGACACGCAGGCTGTAGTGGAGATGCCAAGAGGGCAAACTTCACACACATTGTCCTTGGGTTTTGTGCCTAGAAGGAAGAAACCCATAGGATTTCTCTCTGGGTAAGAGGAGTTCAGCATTTGTGACCCAGTGATTCCTGGAGAGACCCTTCACCACAGCAGCAGCTCACACACTTCTGCCTTCATGAAGGGAAAAAGCATCAAGTGTTCTTGGTCACATCACACTCTGTGCCCATGGGGCAGAGCCAGTGCTGCAACAGCATGACTGACACCACAGAGAAGACACAAGAACGGAGTTACACCATAAGAACCGGGTCCCTGAGGCAGTTTCCCCTCATGGGAACCAAGGTTTCCCCTCACCTCATGGCCACCGAGGTGGGGCCCTCACACCACCAAGGTCATTCCCTCATGGCCACTGAGGCAGGTTACTCACAGCCACCAAAGTGCTTCCCTCACAGCCATTGAGGCCAGGCCTTCATGGCCACTGAGGTGAGGCCCTCACACCACTGAGGTCATTCCCTCATGGCCACCAAGATGGTTCCATCACTGCCACCGGGGTGGGTCCTTCACAGCCACCAAAGTGGTTCCCTCACAGCCTTCGAGGCAGGGCCTTCATGGCCACTGAGACGGGTCCTTCATGGCCACCCAGGTGGCTCCCTCACGCCATCGAGGCAAGGCCTTCACAGCCACCAAGGCAGGTCCTTCATGTCACCGAATTGGTTCCCTCCCAGCCATGGAGGCAGGGCCCTCACAGCCACCGAATTGGCTCCCTCACAGCCATGGAGGTGGTTCCCTCACGGCCACCGAGGTGGGTCCTTTACAGCCACCAAAGTGGTTCCTTCACAGCCATAGAGGTGGTTCCCTCACGGCCCCTGCTCTCCCCACTCGCCATCCTCACGGTGCCCCGGCAGGGGTCCCCACAGGACCCCAAAGCGAAAGCAGACATGGAGGAAGGGGACTGGTTCTTTGCACTCTTTGACTAGAAGAAATTTTAAAAATAAGAAAAAAGAAAGGAGCGCATGTACCAATAATGGGAAGGGAAAGGGAAAGGGAAAGGGCAAGTCACTGGTCTGTGCAGCTCAGATTCCCTCAGCACTTCCCACCCTCCCAGCTGGGCTCAGTGGGGAAGGCTTTGGCAGGGAGAGAGCTAAGCCCAAAGTCAGTAAAATACTTCAAATTGTGCCAAAGCAGCCCCTCAAAGCCTGAGGTACCCTCGAGATCCTGGGAAACAACCCCTCAAAGCCTGACAAGTCCTTCAAATCGTGTCAAACCCCTCAAAACCTGACAAACTCTTCAAAGCCTGACAAACCCCACAAATCACGTCAAACCCCTCAAAACCTGACAAACTCTTCAAAGCCTGACAAACCCCTTAAATTGTGGCAACCCCCTCAAAGCCTGACAAACCTCTTGAATCCTGGCAAGCCAACCCCTCTAAACCTGGCACAAACCCACCCCTCAAAACCTGGCAAACCAAGCCCTCAAATCCTGGTACAAATCACTCTAAACCTGGCACAAACTGACCCCTCAAAACTCATTTAGGGAGCTAACTTTGTGAGCAAATGGTGTGGAAGGAGGACTCCTGTTCTGGGCAAGTGCAGGACACTGCTGCTCAGGTGAGGGGTTTGGGGACAGGAGGGGCAGTGTCTGAGGAAATGCTCAGTAGGATTCTGCAGGAATCTGTGTAACAGGAGCACTCCTTGAGGTTCGGGGTGACTCACGTGGTGGGATTCACAAGAATATACAGAGTTAACATGAGTGGGAGTTCCTTGAGCCTTACAAAAAAAAACAATTTCTTCAGAATGACTTAACCTTTGTCAGGGGTGCAAGCAGCTGCACATCCGTCAGATGGAGAGACCCACACAGAAGTTGCACACAAATGCATTTTATTGCTCTCTACACACACACAGACGCATACACAGTATGCAGGTGAGCCATAGGGCAGTCCCAGCACTGGGAGAAACACCATCCACCAGGAATTCAACCACTCAATAACAGATAAAAATCATTATTATAATGAAAATGCTAAAAAAGCATAGCTTACACCCAAAATGTATAACATTGACAAATCAAGCCTGTTACATACTACTTTTCTTTAACATAAAGCAATAACATACTCTTTTTCTAAATTGAAAAAAGCATCAATTAGTAGAAATATTCCACATAGTTTCCTAACTCCTGGTCATCCCTCACACTGTATATACAGGACTATGAAAGGGCCATGGGGGAGAAATCCAAACCAAAACCAAACCTATTTTTGATCTTGCACAACTGATAAGCAAACAGAGCGTAATATTTTGACCAAGTGTGCATAAACCAAAAGGAATAAATTTATCCTCCAGATTGACTGAGCCAACCAGAGTTGTCAGTCAAGCCAGAGCAAAGCTGATGGCTCTTACTGGGAATATTAGAGAAAATCTCCTACAACAATTCCTGTCCATCAAAATTGTAATATTTACAAACACCCTCCTTCATTCTGAAGACGTTGCCCCTGCCCGGGCAGCACTGCACCAGTGCCTACACAGCTTCAACGCTAAACAGAACACCTCAACTTTTGCCAGAGCATCCCAAAAAAGTCAAAAGCATGGCATTCTCTCATACATAAATAAAACACGGGGGGAAATAAAATTCCCTACAGGAGAGAGGATCAGAGCTGGACTATCAGATGCAGTCAGATCCCTCCTCTGGACTGTCACGGGTCCGTGCAGTGAGGACTCCCCTGATTACCAGGGCCTCCAGAGAGGGCTGCTGTCCTTTGGAGACACTTGTTTCAGGGCACCGGCGTTCCCAGGGGAGAAGGACACCTCTGGAGCAGCTGAGTGGCTCTTCTGGAAGTGGCTTAAAAGTTTGGTCTGTGTTTCAGTTCGGACTTTGTGGAGAGAGAGAAAATAGAAAGCTTCTTGCAAACACCTGGAGTAGCCCTCTCTGTAGTCAAACTGGGAGCTTTTATGGAAGGATCCTGCAGCTAGAGAAAGGAAGAAAAGAGGGAGAAGGAAGAAAGAATAGTTTAGAACAGTTGTTCATGGCTCAAGATTCATACAACAGTCACAGATTTGCGGTAAAATGAAGACTGAAAGAAAACTCAATACTTACTCTTCATCTGCAGCTGGCTCTGCTGTTTCAGGTAGCTGACAGTCATCTCCAGGATGTCGGCTTTTTCCAGCTTGGAATTGGGCTGGTGCCTCTGGAACTCCTTCTCCAGGAGCAGTTTCAGCTGCTCGATGCTGCTGTTAATCCGGTCCCGGCGCATTTTCTCCACCACCGGCTTCCTCAGCTGTAAAAAGCAAAGGAAAAGAGACCTGTTATTAAAGGATCCTCTCCCTGACACTCTGCAAGGTTGTTTGCTGCCCCACTGCTCCTAAACAGAGTGAGGCAAAGTCTCACTGGTGTAAACTGCTCTGCTGCGCCTGCACTTACTTTGTTTTTCTCCTTTGGTGTCAGCAGGTTGTCGGGCTCCAAGAAAACGGTGCTGGGAGCCATTCTGTCCTGAGCTGAGAGGTCTTGGAATGGAATCCAGGAGAAACGTGCTGCTGGAAGCTGCCTGTGCCGATATTTATACTGCCCGAGCTCGGGGCGAGTGTGTGGGTCTGCGGCTCGGTGGCGTTTCCCACACTCGCCAGCCAATCCGGGCCATGGGCAGCACAATGGGAGAAGCAGCTATTCTTGCATGCTCCAGTGGCGGTGAATAGCCCGCGGATAATGACCTTCTCCCACATGAGCAGGTGGGGAGTGTGCGCTCCCTGAAAGGCTGGGATCAGAGTTACGTGTCAGGAGCTGGGAAAGCGCTGCCCTTCAACGGGAAAGGCTGCTGACTAATGCCGCGGATCAATAGCATTCCAGGGGCAGCCCGGGGTTCACATGCAGGAGGAGGAAGGAGGAGGAAGAAGGAGGATGAGGAGGTCAGCTGCCCACGGCGGGAATGCCGCTCCCGGGAGCGCGCCCAGGCACACGCTGCAGCAGGCACAAAGCACACGCACACGCCAGCAATTCCTCAAACCCACTAACCTGCTTCCCACACTGAGCCACCTGTGGGTCGCCCACATGGCTCTGGCATCATCTCATCCCACAGAGCTCATCTGGATCGCTCATCCCACAAAGCTCTGGCACCAGCTTTGCCCAGGGGAAGCAGAAAACGGCTTTCCCACTTTGACTCACTACAAATAAAAACATTTAATTTTAAGTACACACAATTATTGAAAACATTCTCTGGCTTGATCCTTGTTCCCTTCCCTCAGTACCTTGTGCAGCCCTTTAGAATACTCTCAAGCCAAGTCCTAAGCGCTTTATGTTTCTGTTTCCAAATACCTGCAAGACGAATACTTGTGGAGAAACGTCCTGGGATTGTTTCAGGTTCAGTTCAGTATCACATGATGCCTCTTACTTCCTCCCCAAAACACATTTTACTCTAATTGTTTTCATTTAGTCTATAACCAAAGGAAAATTGGGTGCAGAAGAGATTTATATCCTCATAAACTTATTAGAAATCAAATTCCTGATTCCTCATTATTCTCCCCTGGGCTAGTTGCTGTGTTTGATGCACAGCCTGTGCTCAGGAGGTGCCTGCAGCTGGGAGAGCTGACAGTCTCTGATAAAAACACAGCCAGGGATTCCTACTGGAAAACTTGAACCAGATCTGCCAGCAATTTATCCATCAAGTAATGTCAGGGCTTATGTTCGTGGAGCTCTTACTGCAGAGAGTAAATACCAGTTGTATTCACATTAATATATATGTGAATGTTCACCTTTGCATTAATGTGTGTGTGTGGTCACACACAGCCTTTAATGTGAACACACACACCCAGAGCACAGGGGCACATTTCTCTCTCACTCTGCAGCTCATTATTGGTGCACCAGGTAAGGCTTCAATGACCTCTTCCAGGCTCTGCTTTTCCATCCCTTTTGTGCTGCCCTGAATGGGCTCCCTTCTCTCGGCACAGAGCAGCAGCTGTTGAGCTCCGGGTCTTTTATGTCAAGTTGTGGGAAAGCTTTTGTGACACTGTTTCACATGTTCTCCTCAAAGCCTGTGGATTATCTCTGAGCCCATGTAATGCCACCTCTGAAACCAATCTTGCCCTCTGTGCATCCCTCTCGGGGAGATTCCCTGAAACAGAAACTCCAGAGCTGGGACTCGTTTCTCTAGCTCGTTAATTGAGCACAGGAAGAAAAAAGAGTTCCTGTCCTGTGATGGGCAGGGCAGTTTTGCTAGAGACAATTGCTGTTTCCCCTCTTGCTGCTTTCCTCTGATTCTCCACTCAACACTCAGATAAAAACTACATTAATTCCATGGGAACAGTCATGCCAACCTCACCTTCCTTGCTCTTGGGTGTGGTTGTGCACTGGCACAGTCAAGGGATCAGTGCTCAGAATTTCCTCTCCACCAGCATCTAAACTGACCCAGAGCCTGTACCTGAGGAGGCTGAATGCAAAATAATCTTCTGTGCCATTAGGCTGGAAGCCCTAAATACTTAAACTGGGTGTGATAGTAAGAATTACAATATTCAATGTATTATTGGGATGTGAATGTAGCAAAATCTCCCTGGATGGGAAATCCATTGAGGTTCCTACATCCTTGCTCTGTGTCACACACAAATCTTAAATAATTGGAAATAAAAACATGTTTTTAAAATAGATTTTATTTTCTCTTTGGTTGCACAAGCTCTGGGGGGAAAAATCAGCCAATTACTGACCGAGTTGGAAGACTAACTCAAAATAGATTCTCAATTACCCAAAATAGATGCTCTTCTTTGGCTGGAAATCCCAAAGAAAGTGGTAACAAAAATTCCTCCCTATTATGAACTTTGCAGAGTCTGTAGACTTTACACTAAGAAGAATTAATTTGGAATTAATCTCCTACTCCAAACACACACACACTACTGGACAGAAAGCTCATTAAGATCCCAAAATACTGGATCTGGATGTTTGAAACAGGACATCAACAACAGCTTTGCCCTAAAATCCCTGCCAGATGTTAGCCCTTTAGAAAGCCTTAAGGATGCTGCTGCTTTCCCAAGTCTGGGGAGATGCTCCCTGCTCCCACTGCTTCCCTCCCAACCCATGCTGCCCAGATGGCCTTTTGGGAGCAGGGGTTTCCCACTGAACACAAAGCAGAGCCAAGCACCGTTGCTAATGTGGTTTGTAGTCGGGCACACTTCCTTTGTGACAGGAGGGAATATGGTTAAGGAATGGTGTGGGAAACTCCAGAGTACACAAACTTCCACAGCCTTATGTTAGTAAGTCATTGAAAGGGGAGCAGGGGCAGAGATGAACTGGGAACAGGAAAGACAGCAAAATGTGGCATAAATAAAATGGGTCCAATTCCAAGGGCCTTGCTGGGATCTGCACTGAGGTCAACAGAGAATTTGGACTCCAAGATTTGCTCTGCAGATTTCCTACCTCTGAAGCTATTTCCTGATCTCTGTAAACTTGTAAATACAAATTACCTCCACACCTACCTCAGAATTTATCAAAACCTAATTGAAATTTGAATTTTCTCCCGCCAAATTCCAAAACGAGAATCGGGTCTGTTGTTTCCCGTTTATTTCATCCACCTGGTATTGCTGGTAGAAAACCTGACTGAATTTTCTTGAAAGCCAGGCTCAGCTCCTGTAGCTCCACATGGGTCATACAGAACTCTCACAATATCCTCGTGGTCCACAGAAGTGGCTGCGTTTCCTGGGACATACTGAACAGACTGGGGAGTCAAAGAGGCAAAGAGGATGTGGCTCAGAATTCTCAGTGCAATCTAAGCCACCTCTGCCGCCTCCAGTGGGACAATTGGCTTTGCCCTGACTGGTGGATGAGCAAGGTTCTGCTCTGCAGCTCCTTTCCTTGTCATTTCCTCCCAGCCCTTCCCTGCATTTCCTCCTGTCCTGCTGCCTGGCTGGTGCAATTTCTGTCTCCCTGCACAGCTTCCTTCCTGTTTTTTCCCCCTTTTTCCTCGTGGTTTACTTTCCCTCCATGCAGGTTTTATAATCTGATTTTTCGATCTGTCACTCCTTTCCCCCCTGCCTGTCACAGGCAGATGTGGTTTGAGGACAGGGGTGTCTCAGAGCCCTGCAGCCATGGTGAGTGTGGAGTTCCCTCCAGTTTCCCACACCGCTCTCCCATTCAGGGCATTCAGGCACAGGATAAAGGAAGTGTGCCATGCTACAAGCTGAATTAGAAATGGTGTTTGACTTCCTTTTGTACTCCACAGAAACCTTGCTCTGGGCAGACCATCTGCATAGCCCTCACCGTGGAGAAAACCATTGATCAAGGCCTGTCAGCCCAGCTGGGGGAACTTGGGAAAGTAATTCCTTGTGCCACTTCAGTTCTTTAGGGCTTAACATCTGGCTGGAGGGGGAGGCGACAGTTGATGGTTTAACAGTCTTGCTTCCTTTCAAGTTTGGGATGCTGTTTTGATCCCAGATAAGCCTTTCTGAAATCCTGATTTTAATAACATGGAAAGCATCCAGAAGAGTAGGAATAATGCACTGGCTTTGCATTTTCAAAGTGCTTTACAAATACCAGCTAATGAATTCTCAGCGACCTCCTCCGTGGGTGAGGATGTATTATTAGCAGTGTTTTACAAAGGCGGGAAAATGAGGCTGAGAGGAGAAAACCAAGATTTCAAGATTTCAAACAGCCTACAGGTCGCAGGCTTCTATGACCAAGAGACTCTTTGAGACATCTGGTTTGCAAAAATGCTCAGCACTCACTTTTGTTTTAATTAGCTTTGGCATCTCTGAATGGGGCCAGCTCCTTTGCTGGTGGGAGGACTTGGATTTCCAGGCTGGACCACACTCACAGCCATGCACCACCCAGACAAGCAGATACCAAAGTTCTCCTTTGCCCTCCAGTTCAGCAGTGGGGTTTGAGAATGTTATTAAGTATAATTCTTCTAAGCCCATGAAATGGCTGGAAAAAGAAGATGCCTCAATCAAATTCCCCCATCAGGAAATACTTAATGATGTGTTCAACAGAAAATAACAGAAAATAACTCCATCTCCCCAGAAAGTAAACTAAGTTTTCATTTGCTTATTCCTACTCCTGCAGACCTGGAGCTGTGCTTAATCCCTGAGCAAGTCTGTCTGTCAGCACCATGGAATTCTGCTCAGCTGCTTCCCAGCAGGTGTAGTTATCCTGGGATTGGAGCTCCTCAGGGAGAGGATGCAGTGTGCCCTGAATTCCATGGACCCTGAGTGAATATGAGGGAATTTGACAACACGTCTTGCCCTGTGGATAGAGATGAGGGCAGCCAACCCTGCCCATAGCCTGGCACCTCTTGTGTGTGCCCCTCTGCCAGTCCTTTGCCTAGCTCAGGACCAGGCTATCCACCTCCTGAAAAACCCTTCTTGCTTTTATCAGACACCATCTCTACATTCTGCTGCCAGCTGAGTGTGGCAAAGATGTCTCCAAAACCCACCTGCCTGGCAGGGCAGGACCTCACAGGAGCCCTGGGACACTTTCCCCAGGCACACTTCCATTGTGCTCTGCAGCTGGTGACTGGTGACTGCCAAGCACAAGAAAACGGATTCCAGTGGGAGCTTACACCCCAAAACTCACCTCAAAACTCAGTCTGAGCTCAAGGGAAGGGGAGCAATCCACTGGGGCATAAGGGAG